AGTATAAATTGGTTTATTATTGAAAAGATAAAATTCAAAAGTAGTCCCATGAACAATCATGGATTTTCTATCTTTGAGAAGATGATTTTTAAAGAATTTTCCTATATATTTCTATGTAAAACTTTGGTCGGCCATTTTGGCCCCGCCCTACCCCCGGGGGTCATGATTTGAACAAACTTGAATCTACACTACCTGAGGATGCTTCCATATAAATATGATGAATTATGGCTTGGTCATTCTTGAGAAGAAGATTTTAAAGAATTTTCCTATATATTTCTATGTAAAACTTTGGTCGGCCATTTTGGCTCCGCCCTACCCCCGGGGGTCATGATTTGAACAAACTTGAATCTACACTACCTGAGGATGCTTCCATATAAATATGATGAATTATGGCTTGGTCATTCTTGAGAAGAAGATTTTTAAAGAATTTTCCTATATATTTCTATGTAAAACTTTGGTAGGCCATTTTGGCCCCGCCCCCCCCGGGGGTCATGATTTGAACAAACTTGAATCTACACTACCTGAGGATGCTTCTATATAAATATGATGAATTATGGCTTGGTCATTCTTGAGAAGAAGATTTTTAAAAGAATTTTCCTATATATTTCTATGTAAAACTTTGGTCGGCCATTTTGGCCCCGTCCTACCCCCGGGGGTCATGATTTGAACAAACTTGAATCTACACTACCTGAGAATGCTTCCATATAAGTATGATGAATTATGGCTTGGTCATTCTTGAGAAGAAGATTTTTAAAGAATTTTCCTATATATTTCTATGTAAAACTTTGGTCGGCCATTTTGGCCCCGCCCTACCCCCGGGGGTCATGATTTGAACAAACTTGAATCTACACTACCTGAGGATGCTTCTATATAAATATGATGAATTATGGCTTGGTCATACTTGAGAAGAAGATAAGATTTTAAAGAATTTTCCTCTATCTTTCTATGTAAAACTTTGGTCAGCCATTTTGGCCCCGCCTTACCCCGGGGGTCATGATTTGAACAAAGTTAACTTGAATTTATCCTACCTGACAATGCTTCTATATAAATATGATGAATTATGGCTTTGTCATTCTTGAGAAGAAGATTTTTAAAGAATTTTCCTATATATTTCTATGTAGAACTTTGGTCGGCCATTTTGGCCCCGCCCTACCCCCGGGGGTCATGATTTGAACAAACTTGAATCTACACTACCTGAGGATGCTTCTATATAAATATGATGAATTATGGCTTGGTCATTCTTGAGAAGAAGATTTTTAAAAGAATTTTCCTATATATTTCTATGTAAAACTTTGGTCGGCCATTTTGGCCCCGTCCTACCCCCGGAGGTCATGATTTGAACAAACTTGAATCTACACTACCTGAGGATGCTTCCATATAAATATGATGAATTATGGCTTGGTCATTCTTGAGAAGAAGATTTTTAAAGAATTTTCCTATATATTTCTATGTAAAACTTTGGTCGGCCATTTTGGCCCCGCCCTACCCCCGGGGGTCATGATTTGAACAAACTTAAATCTACACTACCTGAGGATGCTTCCATATAAATATAATAAATTATGGCTTTGTCATTCTTGAGAAGAAGATTTTAATGAATTTTCCCATATATTTCTATGTAAAACTTTGGTCGGCCATTTTTGCCCCACCCTAGGGGCCTACCCTAGGGGTTCATGATTTGAACAAACTTGAATCTACACTACCTGAGGATGCTTCCATATTAATATGATCAATTATGGCTTTGTCATTCTTGAGAAGAAGATTTTTAAAAGAATTTTCCTATATATTTCTATGTAAAACTTTGGTCGGCCATTTTGGCCCCGCCCTACCCCGGGGGTCATGATTTGAACAAACTTGAATCTACACTACCTGTGGATGCTTCCATATAAATATGATGAATTATGGCTTGGTCATTCTTGAGAAGAAGATTTTTAAAGAATTTTCCTATATATTTCTATGTAAAACTTTGGTCGGCCATTTTGGCCCCGCCCTAACCCCAGGGGTCATGAATTTGAACAAACTTGAATCTACACTACCTGAGGATGCTTCTATATAAATATGATGAATTATGGCTTGGTCATACTTGAGAGGAAGATAAGATTTTTAAAGAATTTTCCTATATATTTCTATGTAAAACTTTGGTCGGCCATTTTGGCCCCGCCCTACCCCCGGGGGTCATGATTTGAACAAACTTGAATCTACACTACCTGAGGATGCTTCTATATAAATATGATGAATTATGGCTGGGTCATTCTTGAGAAGAAGATTTTTAAAGAATTTTCCTATATATTTCTATGTAAAACTTTGGTCGGCCATTTTGGCCCCGCCCTACCCCCGGGGGTCATGATTTGAACAAACTTGAATCTACACTACCTGAGGATGCTTCCATATAAATATGATGAATTATGCCTTTGTCATTCATAGGAAAAAAGATTTTAAAAGAATTTTCCTATATATTTCTATGTAAAACTTTGGTCGGCCATTTTGGCCCCGCCCTACCCCCGGGGGTCATGATTTGAACAAACTTGAATCTACACTACCTGAGGATGCTTCTACATAAATATGATGAATTATGGCTTGGTCATTCTTGAGAAGAAGATTTTTAAAGAATTTTCCTATATATTTCTATGTAAAACTTTGGTCGGCCATTTTGGCCCCGCCCTACCCCCGGGGGTCATGATTTGAACAAACTTGAATCTACACTACCTGAGGATGCTTCCATATAAATATGATGAATTATGGCTTGGTCATTCTTGAGAAGAAAATTTTTAAAGAATTTTCCTATATATTTCTATGTAAAACTTTGGTTGGCAATTTTGGCCCCGCCCTAACCCCGGGGGTCATGATTTGAACAAACTTGAATCTGCACTACCTGAGGATGATTCCCCATAAGTATCATCTTTCCTGGCGCAGTGGTTCTTGAGAAGAAGATTTTTAAAACATGCCACCAAATTTTCATTAATTGCCAATTATCTCCCCTTGAATGAGGGCGTGGCCCTTCATTTGAACAAACTTGAATCCCCTTCACCCAAGGATGCTTTGTGGCAAGTTTGGTTGAAATTGGCCCAGCGGTTCTTGAGAAGAAGTCGAAAATGTGAAAAGTTTACAGACAGACGGACAGACGGACAGACGGACAGACAGACGGACAGACAGACGGACGCCGGACAAATTGTGATCAGAAAAGCTCACTTGAGCCTTCGGCTCAGGTGAGCTAAAACTCAAGCTTCAGAAGATGTTTTGGAAAATAAATCTGTCTCTTCTTTTCCACAAGTCCATTTACATATTTTTTTAATGAAAATCATGAAATATTTCAAATTATGGCAAACAAATTTAAGAGTCTGAATATATTGAATTCAGTGGATTTTGATTGAACAGGATATTTAAATTACAGTATTCTAAGTAAAGACCTCACAACCTTGCTATTGATCTTTCTGATACAATCTGAAGTAAAATCACAAGAAACATTTTAAAAATCTTTAAATAGCTAATTGTCCACCATATCCATTGAGATGTAATAAAGAAAACATTTTTAAAGATTTTGAACAACCTTCTTCTGAATTTTGAATGTGTCCAGGGTTCCAAAGTTTATGATTTTATGATAAATGGTCAGAATAACAGTTTCTATAGGAGGAGAGCCATTATGAAACTGTTGACTTTAATAAAGTCCCTGGACAATGAACTTTAAATGGCATAATTTTTTAACAGACTTAAGCAGAATTCCAGATGTGTAATGGATGTCACAACCCACACAAATTCCCTTAATATGTCTTATAGTCCACTTTTATGTTAAAGTACAAGTGCTTTATAGATCAAATGTATTCTCTGGAAATGATATGTCATATTAAGCTCCATCCACAGAGTGATTTGGTGCCAGTCTAACAATCCTTTTAGAAAAGTTCAGCTTGTAAATTAATGCCATGTGATTACTAGTCTGATGAGATAATGAGTATTAGCACATGATCCATAGTCTGTTTGAAATTAGAGCAATTGGTATTTTCTACATGATTCTAAGTCACATTAAATGAACTCCGACTTTATAAACTTTTCCTCACCAGAAAATGAATGATGATTTAGCAATATATAAATATATATATATAATTATGAAACAACATCAATTAAGGACAGGTTATAAAAATAAAAAAAAGGATGCCTGGATTGGTATATATTTTTGGATCTATTTTCAGTTTAAAATGATGCGGATATTACATTTTGAAAATATTAAGAAATTGTCAACTTTACATGATGATCTTTCTACCTTTCTCTAATTGTTCAATTTTTTTCACTCTGAACCACATTATTGTAAAATTGAGAATGAATAATAAAGATCTATGCAGTTAAGGTGATATATTCCTCTGCTCTAAATTTCATCATTTAATTTGTTGGTATCAGATTGAAATGGTAAATAGTTTGAAGTATGAATTGTTGGTTCCTTTTTCAGAAAGATGTCTAGTCATAATAGCATGAAAAAAATTGAAATGATGAATAGAAAGATAAAAATTTTATTATCTCAGCATAAAACTAAAAATATGAGGTATATATGAAAATAATATTCCATGTCCTTTCCTTTAAATTATCTCTTTTAGACCAGTTATGCAAAAAAACAGCTTTAGCATACAGTCTCTTACATAGGGACAAAAATGTTAAAATTGTTATAAGTAAGCCAGGAACCAACTGGCTAAATTGGCAATGACTGAAAAAATCTCATTTGTGTGATGCCCATGCATCAGAGATTTATAAATGTTTTTTTTCCCCATTTTTTGTCTAAACTTTTTAAAACTGTTTCACATTGTTGTCACCTGATTGAGTCTTCACTTCTGGTAAGTACAAAGGTTTTGATTGTCTGTTTTTTATTCTGTGTTTGCTATGTATATAAATTGCTTAAAAGGGTTCCAAATCAGAGTTTAATTGACCCTTTTTGGTAAAATTCCTTACCCTTTCCATTGGGGATTTTAAGTTAAAAACATTGGCAAAAATTAGAAATATTGATTCCTATCATTATGTTTTTATCTGTAGGTCTTACTAAATTGTTTATAAGTGTTCCAATCACCCCTCCCCTTAAAAACGATCTGATCTCCTACCTTTGGTCGGCCTCCTGTACAAAGGCACAGCTTCTGATAATGGACCTCTTCACCGTCACTCAGTTTTAGTACCTGCCAATGCCATAAACACATTTCAATTAAAATGTACTTACATGTGGCATGCATTGAGGGAATACATATACCTTTATAAAACTTTTTGCATTGACAGTTAACGATTAAAATGTACTCACATGTGACCTAGCATTGAGGGAAACCACACTCTTCTGTATAACTTTTATATTGACACATTCTGTTTGTAAGGAAATGCTTGGTCTCTCCTCAACATCAAAATCCTCCAAGGTTTTTGTTATCTTTAAAAAATATCAAATTCAAAGTTTGAAATATGATAACTATCTTTGTAGTTTGTGATGGGTATACAGTTGCTACCTTTTTGTAGTTTGTGATGGGTATATATTTTCTAATAGGTTTATAATTGCTATCTTTTTGTAGTTTGTGATGGGCATGTTACCTTTTTATTGTTTGAGATGAGTATATCATTGCTACCTTTTGTAGTTTGTGATAGGTATATAATTGCCTTTTGGTAGTTTGTGATGGGTATATCATTGCTACCTTTTTGTAGTTTTTGCTGGGTATATAGTTTGTGTTGGGTATATAGTTTGTGATAGGTATATGATGGCTAACTTTTTGTACTTTGTGATGGGTAAATAATTGCTACCTTTTTGTAGTTGGTGATGGCTTTAATCAGTGGGGAGGCTGTTATCAGAAGTACCTCTTCTTCTGGGCACAGAGATGAAAGCTGTTTAAAAAAACAGGAACACCTGAATCATGTGACAATTTGAATGTCATTTTGCTTGAAGCTAAATATCAGTCAACATGTTTATATCAAACCTGATTAAATTCTGAGCAATGTTCTATGCAATTTTCCACATTTTTCAGCTGTACAGTAAAACATTCTAATAATGAAGCTCCAGGGGTGGACGGTTTTGCCACATTATAAGAGTAATTCATTATATCTGTTAAATTTATAATATATTTTGAAGTCACGAAGCTTGAAAATCACTTTCTTCTAAGCATCAATTCGTTATGAGCTTGTTTGGTATATCATGTTTTACTGTATTTGGAAGACAGACTAATCACTGTCAACAGAGAAAAAGGGAAAAGATTAAAAATATGGGCAATTAAAAGCGAGCGCAGCGAGGCAGCACAAAGCGCCGCTCGCGTAGCAAATGACTAACTTGTACGAACGGAGGAAATTCGGGTTGAAATCTGCAAATTGTTCCAAGAAAATTTTATGAGTCCATGTGAAAATTTAAAAATCCCAATAATCCTTTGAAGTGCATAGCAACATGGTGGCTTATACATAGCAACAACTTACTATTACAAACAACGATTTATGCAATCTCTATATCACAAAACTATTGTTTCCATCCTTAGTCAACAGGACCTTTTATTTGACGTCATACTTTCATCACTCAAACGGCTTGGGTATTTCTAATTTGTCGGAAGCTTCTAAGAAGTTCGGAAAGTCGATCCTGATGCACAGGAGGTGATTCTTTTTATTGTTGTGGTTTCTTCTTATTTTCTTTCTTTCTTTAATGAACTGAAGATAGGCAGTACAAGTGTAACCTGTTTATAGGTTTTTATAAATAGTTAAAATACAAAGCTGCATTCGCCCCAACGGTCACTCCGTAAAACATAGTATGGTATATGGTTGATACTGGACACAATATTCACAGGCCATCACAGCACTTATTTGCACACTTAATAAAGTTAATATTGAAAGTAAAATCACTTTCAGAGCTCGTCATAGAGAACTTTTTTTGTTAAACATGTTAAAATGCTATAGACCCAGTTTAAGGGCTTTTCCAGAGACACAGCTAAATTATCCTAAATAAGCTCCATAATGCTCAAGATTATTGTTATTTCATGTTCAAAACTGTTACTATTCATCAAACTCATGTACAAAATATACTACTAAAGTATACATACTATTATATTAAATGTTGGTAAATAGTCCTCCGCTTAAACTTCACAGTGGTGTTACATGCCCACCCCCCTTTTTCCTCCACTAATTATATATCGTGAATGCGTTAAAATTCTTACCGTTTCTACACAGGTTACTCCAGCGATGCCACCTCCTACGACAACGTATCTTACCATGCTGAAATATATCTCCAATAGATGTTACACAGTCAATGTTACACAGTCACTGAAGAAGAAAAAAATTCTATAGGGCGCATCCATCTTTAAACTGCCCGGATTTGAAGATGAAAGTCGACTTGATAAAGGTAATACTTATCCGGAGACAAGGCGAAATATAGGAAGAAGGACAAGTAGAGCTTTTTTAAAAAGCTTCCCGTCTTTAGCAACAATCTTAAACTATAAACTGATCTACACCTATCAGGCCGTATAATTCTTTTGAATTTCTTGATTTTGTATTTCTACATTAGCTTTTTACTGGCATTAGCCCTACCACGGTTGTCGCTCGGTCATCTCCGTAAACTTTGACTCGCCGAGAGCTTTCGGCAAACCTCGGCTGATTCCATTTCCTTCTTCAAACAAGAAAGGGGAAAAGAATAATAACAAATTGTAAAGCCTGCAAGGAATAAAAATCAAATTTGATTTATAATGAAGTTAAAGAGATCTTTTTATTTTTTGCTATACAAAAAATCATGTTATTAGGAATTAATTACTGCTGATTTTGTTGTTCGTTTTGTCATTTTTTTTAAGATTGAAAATCTTGCAAAATTGTTAAGTCGTACGAAAATTAGATCATCAGAAAGTTATCTCCCTTGCCTTGAACAGCATTTCAACCAATGAAATAATTGAAAATTTTATCATAATGCATTTTCTACCAATCACAAAAGAGAGGAAGTGCATAGTCCGAAGACTGTAAAAAACTTCAACTATACAATACCGTCTTCCAAGGAAGACGGTAATAAAACGTACGCTCAACTAGGACCTCAGGTCCCCCGCAAATAGTTCGTCAGTTTGCGTAGTAATAAAACATTTTAGGAACTCTTCAGGCATAAAAGGCACAAAAGTAAATTCATCGTTATCAATACGGAGACCTTAGGTCACCATATATACAAGAAACATATTGACGCAAGCGTCAAAAATCGGCCGCAAACCAATTTATATAACTGTTGAAGTTCCTTTCATAAACTGAAATTTGCCGTTTTTTTAAAAAAAATTCTTATATTTATCTGTTAAAATATCCTCGTGACATGAAAAAAAAAATACATGCGACAATGCCGATTGCATAATGCATGTACAATATTACCCATTGTTAGATGTATAGGCAAAATAAACTATGCATAGTCCTCTGCGTCTCTGCACTCAGTTTGGTACATCTTGCTGTTTAAGTAGTTTTTACATAAAAAGTACAAAACTGAAGTTTAAACTTAACTATAGTTTTACCTTAATAAAAACGCAACAAATATATAACATGTGGGGCTCCTCGCTCTCTTAGAGGATGTTAACCCCCCACCCCACCCCCCACCCCCCAACTCCTTCTAGATCCACCACTACATTTCTTCTCTTTCAATCTCTTTGTTTTGGTATTGAGATGTGGCGGGAAAATGTTTGGCACATTGTAAAACGCGCTCTATCCTATCGAGTCTCCTGGACCACCATGACGTATTATATTTTTTGCTTTTAAGATATCAATATTTCATCATATTTTTGAAAAACATCCATAGGAAATGTTTAAATATACACTTCATTTCAAATTAATACAACAGATCCTGTTTTAAAAAGAGAAAGTAAAATTGTTGATTTACAACGCGGTCTTTGTTTTAGACTATGCCTAACACTCGTACTAATATATTTTCTCCGCACTTCAGTAATATCAGAGTTTGTCAATCAGGATTGGATGAAATATTTACCCCATTATTTATAAAATTGAATTTTACGATTATTGTGCTTTTTCCTAAACATTTAGACAATCTTTGTTTAATATTAAATCGCCGGCGATATGATGTTGAATATTTTTATTTAAATTGTTAACTCCGCAGAAACGCACAGCGACTTAAAACTTTCATATCATATAACCGACCGCCTCCTGGCGGCCGGTAATTAATTGAATTTTACATGACAGACAGTTTTCTTTGTCTTACTCCGAAATGATCATAATATGTTTTACGGTGTGACCGTTGGGGCGAGCGCAGTTGTACCATCAAAAACACTTGAGTTCAGCCACTTCGAACGTCAAGCCGCACGAGAAATCTCGACTAGCTGTGACGTCATACGACGTCACAAAGCTCGTCGGAGCTTACGGAGACAGCCGAGCGTCTGTTTGAAACTATAGAACTAGTGCAATTTTTGTTGAAAAACATTGCAGAGTTATTTCTTGTTTCTTTGAAAGATTTCTACAAACTGAAAGCCTGATATATGCATTACGTTATTATTTATTTATTTATTCGGCAATATTTGCGCAAAGGACATTGGGTAGTGCAGGAATTCTGGGAATGTTGCACAGAGAAATTTGGCTGACGTATGTACAGATTTCAATCCGAATTTCCTCTGTTCTTACACGTTAGTCTATTGAGCTCGCTTCGCGAGCGTCGCTTCGCGACGCTCGCTGCGCTCGCTATTAATAACTTTAAAGAGATCTACTTTCTAATATATACATTAGTAGAAACGTAAAAGTGATTAGGGGGACAAGAGGTAACCTTATATTATATATCAGTAGGGAGACCAGTGGTCACCTTACCCTATTGTTAGATTGTACAGCATTAGATGGACCATAGGTCACCTTTTATTTTAAATTAAAAGGGGACCAAAGATAACCCTTTATTGCATATCATAAGGGGGACCTGAGGATAAACCTTATATTGTACATCATTTGGGGGACCAAAGGTCACCTTATATTGTACATCAGTACGGCGACCAGTGGTCACCTAATATTTTACTGTACATTGATCAGTAGAGGAAACAAAGATCACCTTAGATTCTACATCAGTAGGGGGACCAAAGGACACCTTCTGTAATACATCAGAAGGGGGACCAGAGGACACCTTACATTATACATCAGTAGGGGGACCACGGGTCACCTTATATTGTACATCAGTAGGGGGACCAGTGGTCACCTTATAATGTACACTTCATCAGTAGGGGAATAGAGGTCAACTTAAAATGTACATCAGTAGGGAAACCAGAGGTCACCTTATTTTGAACATCAATAAGGAGACCAGAGGTCACCTTATGTTGTACATCAGTAAGGAGACCAAAAGGTCACCTTATATTGTACATCAGTGAAGGGACCAGAGGTCACCTTATATTTTTCATCAGTAGGGGGACCAGATGTCACCTTATATTATACATCAAATCAGTAGGGGGACCAGAGTTCACCTCATATTGTTCATCAGTAGGGGGACAAAGGTCACCTTATATTGTTCATCTGTAGGGGACCAGAGGTCACCTTAAATTATACATCAATAAGGAGACCAGAGGTCACCCTATATTGTACATCATTAGGGGGACTAGAGATCACTTTATATTGTACATTAGTAGGGGACCAGAGGTTATCTTATATTGTACATCAGTAGGAGACCAGAAGACACCTTATATTGAACGTCAATAAGCAGACCAATTATCCCCTTATATTGTTCACCAGTAAGGGGACCAAATGACACCTGATATTTTACGTTAATAAGGAGACCAGAGATCACCTTATATTGTACATCAATAATGAGTCCAGAGGTCACCTTATATTGAACATCAATAAGATTACCAGAGGACACGTTATATTGAACATCAATCAGAAGACCAGAGGTTACCTCATATTATACATCAAAAGGACTAGAGGTCACCTTATATTGAACATCAATAAGGAGATTAGATGTCACCTTATATTGCACATCAACATCAGTAGGGGGACTCGAGGTCACCTTATATTGTAAACAAGTAGGGGGACAAGATTTCACCCAATATTGTTCATCAGTAGGGGGAACAGAAGACACCTTATGTAGAACGAACATCAATAAGGAGACCAGAGGTCACCTTATACTGTACATCAGTAGGGGGACCAGAGGTCACCTTATATTGTACATCAGTAGGGGGACCAGAGGACACCTTATATAGAACATCAATAAGGAGACCAGAGGTCACCTTATATTGTACATCAGTAGGGGGACCAGAGGTCACCTTTTATTGTACATCAGTAGGGGGACCAGAGGACACCTTATCTTGTACAACAATGACGAGACCAGAGGTCATCTTATATTGTACATCAGTAGGGAGGCAGAGGTCACCTTATATTGTTCACCAGTAAGGGGACGAGAGGATACCTTATATTTTACGTTAATAAGGAGACTAGAGATCACCATATATTGAACATCAATAAGATGACCAGAGGACACATTATATTAAATGTCAATAAGACCAGAGGTCAACTCGTATTATACATCATAAGGGGGACTAGAGGTCACCTTATATTGGGGGGATCAGAGGACACCTTATATTGAATATCAATAAGGAAACCAGAGGTCACCTTATATTGTACATCAACATCAGTAGGGGAACCAGGGGACACCTTATATTGTACATCAGTAGGGGGAACAGAGGACACCTTATATAGAACATCAATAAGGAGACCAGAGGTCACCTTATATTGTACATCAGTAGGGGGACCAGAGGACAACTTATCTTGTACATCAATGACGAGACCAGAGGTCACCTTAAATTGTTTCTCAGTAGAAGCTCCAGAGGACACTTTATATTGTACATCAATATGGAGACTAAAGGTCACCTTATATTGTACATCAGTAGGGGGACCAGTGGTCACCCTTTTCGAGGGCTGTTCACTAATTAATGTCCTCTGTGCTCGGAAAGAATCAAAAGACGCTTTTCAATAATTTAGTCTTAATGATTTAACCTAATATTATATTTTAATTAAAACACATGTCTGTTACATTTTTTATCCAATTTGTGATTGTTTTTAGAACTCATTTTTGGGTATGACCCTTCTTAAACTGGATTATGGCAGATCTTATGATTTTTTGGCCTTCTTTCTTCCTCCTGAAAGGCGTTTTTTTTTTCAAGTTTGGAAAATGAAACAAGTCGAAAGGAGAAAGATCTGGCGAATATTGTTAATGTGAAAGAACATCAACTTTCTTTTTATTCCAAAGACTCCTTAACTCTTCAGGACGTGCGGGTTTGGACGCTGTCATGAAAAAATCTAATGTAGTGGATTCCTGATTCTCATTAACCTTTTGATTTTTTTTCAAAAAAATTACTTTTTAGATTCCTCCAGAAATT